GTTTGTCTCACTGAAGATAATCGGTGGAGATAAAACAGTGATTCTGAAGCAGAAGTCAATTTTTCCTGATTCTTCCTAGAGGAACAATCCATCCCGTCAGCCTTGTCAGCTACAATGCTACAGTGATCTCCCACGGTAGAAAAGTTTGGATCCCAAAGAACGCTTTCTGGTTCTTAGAAGCATCTACATGAAGTGCTAATTCCAAAAAAGAAAACGGAAATGATATTATAAAATCTGATTCTCTTATGTAGCCTTGAATGAATGTCCCTGGAATTTCAGAGATTAAAAAATCTGGTTCCAGCTTTTAAAGAACTCAGGATTACTATATATTAAAGAATAATGAAAAGACCAAAAAACATTACGTGAATGAACCTGGAAGACATTATGTTGAATGAAATATGTTAATCACATGAGAACAAATATTGCATGGTCCCACTATTATAAAAAAAGTTAGGAATAGATATGCACTTAAAAAGAAATGTTCCTTGATGGTGATCAGGGATGGGAGGGAGCAAGAAATGAGGGTAGACACTTTTGATTTTTGATCATGGGAAAGACAATACCAAATAAGGGTGAGATCCGTATAACGTGACCAGAGTAAATCAAGACACTAATAAGTATGCAAGGAAAAGGACACGTTCTGTAAATGCTATAGTGTATTCAATTTTGCAACAACAGTAATAACCTAAAAATATGTATGTGATTACATGGATGGAAGTATATATATGCATATCTATTTGAATGTACTACATGTAGATATAGGAGTATCTATGGTGTTGTTATGTGTTATTGAGTCAGTTCTGACTCATAGCAACCCTATATAGGGTTTCTGAGGAGTAGATGGTAGGTTTGAACTGCCAACCTTGCTGTTAGCAGTCTAGTGCTTATTCTGCAAGCACCACCCCAGGTGTTTATCTATAGGCTTATGTAATTGTGTGCTGCATATATATTGATAGAAGTCATAAAACGCATAGGGGACACATTTACAGAGACTTCCTAGACATCTCCAAAGAACTTGTGGGCTTGGTTTACTGGATTAAAAGATTTAGGACCATAGCCTCATGGAACAACTAAGTCAATTGGCATAACACAGTTCATAAAGTTACTGTTCTACACCCTAGTTTGGTGAGCAGCCATCTAAGATACAACTATAAGTCTCTACTCATTTGGAGGGAAAGAAAATGAAGACTCTAGAAAGAAACTGGAGTCCAGATGTAGCACTGCAGGTTAATGTGCTGGACTGCAAGGTCAGTTTAACCTTCAAGGTCAGTGGTCCAAGCTCATCAGCCACTCCTAGGAAACCCTATACAGGGTCACTGTGAGTCAGAACTGAATCAATGGCACTTAATAAAAACAGTAAGACACTAGTCTACAGAACCTCTTCTAACCTGAGACAAGAAGAACTAGGTAGCACCTGGCTACCACTACCAACCCTTCTGACCAGAGACAATAGAAGGTCCCAGTTAGAATGGGAGAAAAACATAGATGAACATTCAAATTAATTTAAAAAAAAAAAAAAAATCCTAGACTTACAAAATTGATAGAGACTGGAGGAACCCCCAAGACTATCACTCTAAGATACTCTTTTAACTAAAAATGATAACCACTCCTGGAGGTCACCCTTCAGCCAAACAATAGATTGAATTAGAAAATGATATCCCCCACGAATGATGCATTTCTTAAACAATTAACTACACAAGAATGAAGGGAGCCTGTGGGTCTTTGCAATAAGCACTGGATTGCAAACCACAAGGTCTTTGATTTGAGCCCACCAACCATACTGCAAAGACTCACATCCCCAGAAACTCTATACAGGGTTGCTATGAGTTGGAACTAACTCAACAGCACTTAGCAACAACAACATATGAGACTAAAAAGTTAACGTTTACCCATGATGGCACGGAAAGGAAAGGAATGGAAGCCAGATCAATGGAAATAGAACCAACATCACAGAAATGATGAAAGACACAGAAGACTGGATGGGTTGGAGAAAATGAACTTATGAAGGACCTGTGGGCTCTGCTAGAATTGAAGATTGTGGTATGTAGCAAATAGGAAAACACTGAAAGATTCTAGTTGGAGAATGACACTTCATATTATAAAGGTCTTTCTGGCAGAAATGTGGAGGCTTTTAGTTTAATAAAGGAGGCGGAAACATTGGTTAGACGTTTCTACAATAGTCTATACTAGTGATTATGAAGTTGTCATGAAGGGAAAGCCTTCTCTCAATAATACGTAGAAAGTATTGGACATGAGAGGACCTAGAGTATGGACATTAGAATATGATAAAAAAAAAAAAAAATGAAGGCCTGAACTAAGACATTAACAGTAGTCAGGGGTGGGGAAGGATTTATCCAAGAGATACTTCAGTGATTGTCGTGAAAGGATTTAGTAATTAATAGGGTTTAAAAGACAATGTGGAGTTGTGAGTCAAAGATCACTGAGATCTCAAATCTGGAGAAATAGAAGCATTATGGTCCCATTGATAAAACAGTAGTGGCAATGATGAAGGGACTGTGATTAATGAGACCTCTTTATGGCTAGGATGTCAGCAGGTGAGGAAATTCAGAACTGGACCTTGAAAAACACTTGACAGATTTGAGAAGCCACATGCATCATCATATTAGAAAACGTAAAAGCGTATGAGGGAAAATCTGAGAATGAGAGTAGATACAGGACCATGGGGGCTGTGTTAGGAGAGCAAAAGGAAGCTAATGAACTGGCAGGAGCTGAAAAAATAAGACTAAGAGCACTGAAACCAAGAAAGGAATTCCAAAAAGAAATGGGTAGTTACTGAAGCTACAAGATGCACGCAGATAATCTAACATAAGAAAATTTGATTAAAAAAAAAAAAAGTGTTGCTAAGTTCTGCACTTTTTGCAAACCTTATTGATCTAAGGAATAAACAATAGAGCAAAACTTTGGACCAGTTGTCAAAGCTTACTCATACGTGTGCTTACATATACAAGGGGGATTTCAAAAGTTCATGGAAAGATTACATTATCTTTTAATTCTTTTTTTCAGAAGCTATTTGAAGTCCTCATATATAGGCAGATAGGTAGGTAGGTAGGTAGACAGACAGACAGACAGACACACCAATTTGGTATATGGAACATATGCAGAAATAGGTCAACAATTATGTATGCATACTAGAACAGAATCTTTCACCAGATAAAATATAGAAACTGAATGCAGTTCAACT